TTTTTTTTTTTTTTAATAACAAAAAGAAAAACATTTTAATTACATTAGTAATTCTATTTGTAAGATTATCACCTTAAGCAAAAAAATAAATTCCACTGCCATATAAATGATAAGAGTATCTTATGAAATGATAGAAAAAGTCAAGTAAAACTGCGTAGTTTTAAACTAATGAGCAATTATGATTAAATTATTAGCACGAATAAAATAATATTATTTAGATTATTTATTTTTAGCATTCATATAWTTTCAAATAAAATAAAAAATGTATGGATAGTCAATGAGTACATCATTTTTTWAAAAATATATACTTATAAGTAATAATATGTAACTACGTAATCAAAATATAAAATTTATATTTTACATAGTTATCGATAATAAATAAGATATATGAATTAACATTCAAATTTTCAGCAATCAAAACTTATAAGACGAATAAAATAAATAAGGAATTTAAAAAGTATGATATTCACAAAAATATTTTTTAAATTACCATAGGTGTCTACATTATACATAATAATAATAATAATAATATAATAATAATATACATCAAACATTATCTTTATATTATTTTTGTTTTATGCATACCATCGATTTACTTAGGCTTACGATTTACTGTCTACGTAGGTATGGCGTTTCATTACTATTGAAAGTACATAGCATACTCGGGACATGGATATAATTCAAAAAGTATCAAAACGGAATGCCCTTTTAATAGTAAACAATTATTATGATACTAACTAACAAAACATAATACATTTATTTTCTATGAAATACTAAATACTCGTAAAATGTATATAAAATATATGAATTGCTTATGTTACATAAGTTATGTATGTAAATACTACGATTAAATGCTCCCGTCTTTATTAATATGTTTATACAAACATAGAATGAGGTCATTATTCGATTTTCAAAACGATTTTATAYTTTTTTTTAAAGTGTTTTAAATTTACATTGCTTGTCCAACCACTTCAGTAATATATTAATATAATTAATAGATGTCGATTGTGTCAATAGTCAAATGATATTAAAGATTACTAAATGTTATTATTTTCAATTACAGACAACATAAAATATAAGTAAATTAAATAACTAACGCTAGATAGGTTAGGCTAGGTTATCTTATATATAGCAAAGATAAACTAATAAATTAATTTAATATATAGATACCGACATATGTCCTATTTTATATACAAATAATAAAAAATAGTAATATAATTATAAACTACATATTATTCCTAACATATGTATTTAGCCTAGCATATTAGTATATTATAATTATAAGTTATAACATAGGCACCTAACTTACAAATTGACCAAGTATACTTAAAACAATGTGATATTGCTTTTGTATCATAAGTATGTAATCGGTAGAATTTAGCTTTGATTTTTGGTTAGTTTTAAGTTCAAAATAAAATTATTATAAAATTCAAGTACATATTTAAAGTAATTTTATCTCATTAGGTATTTAGTCTTTGCCTACGTCCTTCGTTAATCTATAATAAACATCTCGACTTCATTACTTGTTGGTTATCGATAACTGATTAATCAGCTGAACTAGATAATATACCTAACCGATTCTCGTTTATCCAATACAGTTGATACTTTTGTTTCTTCTATCTATTCTAAAAATATACAATTAAAGTTAAATACCTACCCACTCTGGAAAAAACTTAGTAGGCATATACTAGCTAAACAATTACAAGATACACATTTCACTAGGTATATTTTAAAATAATATATTATTTGCAAAACATTCATTACCTATAATTCAAAACGTTAAAAAAAACATTAGGTATAATATCATATTACATTATTTTTAATTAGGTAGTGTAATTTATTACTAATTATTTTATTATGAATTATKATACTTAACAGTTTTAATAAAATACTTAATATATTTTTTATGCTAAGAATTATTGTTGTAATAAATATGAGTGATGGTTTATCATAATTATTATGACTTATAAATTTTAAATTCAATAGATATATATCAAACTCAAACACATCATAYGCATTTAAGGTTTTTCAGAATTTTAACATAAATCTTAAACTGTTCAAAATCCATTCAACAAATTAAAATTAAAATGTGTTATTTAATCTAGGTATTAGGTAGTAATTTTTGTTTTTAAAGTTTATTTTTAATAAATGAGTTRATTAAATTATACACATACCTATCATAATTTAAATAATAAACAAAACAGGTGGCTATAGCTTAAGGCTATATAGATCAAAACAACGATATAGTTCCCGATTAAATTTTTATTTTTCATTTAAAATATACTCTTGGCTGTTTGTAATTTTTTAATCATAACTTTTTCTAATAATTAACAACTGTTGTCATTATCTATATCCAACTAACTATTTTATGTTTACATATCAATTATGTGCGATCTTCTATCAGAAATTGTAAATTTTTTGGGAGAGTCAAAAATGTCAAAGATGAATATCTAATCAATGGGGTMTACTCGTATTATGCTAAATATATTTTCAAGATAYCTTTCGCCTTTTATTTTTTTGAAAAAAGTAAAAGTAAGTAGGTATGTTATATTAATAAGTACATTGTATTATGYAAGTTGTTATTTAATCACGTTGTGTACTTATTACCTAGGTATATCTTTTATCTATACCCTGTTTATGATTGGACGATATTCGGCGGAGTTTTCAAGTGTTTCGAGTTAATAATACCTACTGATGTTTATCTGTTCTTAATGTTCATAAAAACCTGCGTCCGAGCAGTTATTATTACTAAAACGATTGTTGTACTGTAAACCGATCGATATAGCAATAGTCGTAGTAGTATCTTAAAAATGTGTATATAGAAATAATATCAAAATATATAATATAAACTAACTCATATACCTTTATATACACGCACAGTGGTTTCTGAAAAATGGCGTGATTTTTAGATGACGAGAAAAACAATTTAACAAAACAATATAACGTTTTAATATAATGGATATAAAGCAGGTAGGTACACACAAATAATATTGTAATTTATATTGAACTCACTATGTTATAAATATAGAAACAGAATAAAGTGCCTATAAATTGTATGTACTATCGTCGTAAAGTGTAAACATTGTCGTAAATAAATAAATAAATAAAAAACCTATCTGCTATGTTATAATATACCGGGTTGCATAAGAAATCACTGTACCTATATATATATCAACATAKTTTACCGAATCAACGGTGGTGAGCTGATTGTCCCTTAAACACGATTCGGAGTCCCATTAAATATGGTTGGTCCGTTATTGAGATATGTTCGTGAAACAATTAAATCAATACATACTATATCATACGAGCCGGTATATAGTGTTYCGGTACCGGTTCCGGAGTAAAATAAAAAAAAGAACGCGATCTTCGCCGAGGTTTGTACCTGCGCCCTATACACCGTATAGATGATCGTATATAAACATACCAGGTGTAYGGCGGTAACCAACTTACCAGAAGGGGACCCGTTTAGCTGTAGTGCGTTGCCGAAGATGGGCAGTGACGGCGGTCCGGGGATGGATCGAAACGAGGCGATGAACACACGCCTGCGAATCAACGGGCCGATGAGCGCGACGGCGATGAGCGCGACGGCAATGCATATCAAAATCAACGTGCTGCCGTCCATCGTTGTCCGTGCAGTGTRTTCGTSCTGAAGTCGGGTGGGTTACCGCAACAGTTGCCGTGTAGTTTTTGCGGTCGGCGAGGTCTCCTCCCGGGTGTGGACCGTGGTATCAGCTGGTGTAATATTTTGTGTTATTATTAGAGTGCGGTATTCTATATGGACTGCAGGAGTCGCTAATAATGGTGGTGCTGCGGTGACGGATCACCGGGTGCGGGCACGCGACGTACTGCGTTGGAAACGCGGTTGCTGTAAACGGAAAGACGAGAAACGATTGTTTCCGTCGGTTTAAAAAACAAAAAAACAAAACAGGCGTGGAAAAAAAATTTGTTTCTCTTTTGAAAATCTTCGAAACGGTCTGGAAACGTAAAGTGGCTTTCGTGAGCCTACACGAACGTCAACGCAACACGGTCGCGGTCGATGATGCGGTCTGGTGCGACATGTTATTATAATAATTATTATCGCGATGTTATTGTAATGTCGTTTTTGGATGATTGTTTCAGACGCGATTTAACGACGACAAAACGGTACAAGTCGGTCTGGTCGCAGTGCGTACGGAAATTTTAACGCGATCGTGCCTACTCGACGCGGCCGGTATGACAAATTGCCACCGATCTAGTGCGCACACGCTTTGCACGRCGCGCTCTTATATGCCGGCCCGGGCCATCCCCATTATTACATACGCACATACACGCGGCGCTCGGCTGACGGCGGCCCGACCAACAACAACCCCTACTACACAACCGGACTTGGGCGCTTGACGCACGCGCTACCGGCCCGGCCCCGTTGACGTACACACACACACACACACACACGTTGAATAATATAATAAATCTGTGTGTGTGTGTGTCTACATGGTACAATATCATATTATATATATCTTAGATACGCGTTTGGTGTCCGACAGCGCACACCGCACCGGAGCACACTCGTCGCAGGTGGCCCGATGGGCTGCACATATATAATAACAATTTTTTTTTCCCGACGCGCACATACCAGATCACATTATTATCATCACATACCTACCTACCGTATCACAATATATATATATATATATATATATATATATATATATATATAATATGTTATGTGATTGTACATATTATAATATAATAATATATTGTATTAAATCTGCGAGAGGTATATGTTGTATATATGCATATACCATATGTTATATTGTGCGCAGTGCGACTGTATATATAGGTACGATAGTCTGTACATTATTGTATTATTATTATTATTATTATCATCGGTAGGTGGATATATAGGTAACCTACGTGATAAATTTGCACGTGTGCACGTCGATATACGCACATATTATATTATGTGCCATTAAAAACGGTCGGCGCGATCCACGCCTATAAGGCCATTATATTATACAATCGCTCTCACTCGGTCAGAGTATGCCCATTATTGTAAACGTAAATATAACTTATTTCCCTGTATACCTAGGTGGTACCTATTTTATTTTAATACTTATATTACTATAAAGTTGTCAACAAATTTCGAGTGTTTTCGCATACTCGTCGTATATATTATAGTAGTATACACTGAATGYATAGTAGGCGTATAGTATAGTACTATACGAGTACTATATTATGCGGGTAATAAGCTCGATCAAATTATGTAGTGAGGCGCCTTTGTTACAAAATAGTTTTTACTATATAAATGGATAAAATCATACCTGACATATCCCGCTCCCCTTAAAATAAAAAACACGAAATCAAAAAACTGACAAAAACAAATTCTCAAAATCCTTCATAAAATACCAAGGAAGTGCCGGTGGAAATATCTAAAAAGTATATYCCGTAGGTATGACATATGACTTACCCGGTCTCTTTCCTTAGTTGATAATATATAACATATTCAATTCTAAAATAAATAAATATATAATACATATTTGTATGTATATATTTTCATAATAATTATTCAGAAGGTTATTTTTTGAAAAAGTTCAAATCAAGTCAACTCTGGGAATTATTTACTATTATACTCTTCAGCACCTAGATATCACACATTCACACCCTCAAACTGCAACTATATCATCTACCTATGTATAGTGTATATTTAGATAAATGTAATTCGTCTCCAAAGTTTACAGCTGTTTATCAGCCTACTGTATCAGCCAAGAACTGCTTAAATTATAATATGATTTTTGAACTACAGATACTACAATATTTATTATAATACAAATAATAATATTATATAACCACCACGTGTACGGTTGCATAGACGTACAGCACCCAACTATTAGCAGCCTAATACGTCGAATAATATTATATTATTATTATATAGTCCAAATTTGTATGCATTTATGCATCAACAAACCTTGAAATGTGCAACCTTATATGCTCATAAAATGTTTAAGAAATATTCAAAAACATACTATTATCCAAAATATTGTATAACCATAGTTATAGTTTTTTTTTCATAATTATTGAAAAATTGAACATTAGTTTATTGTTAGTTAACACTTAGAGATAAATTTAAATGTTTGATAAACATCAAATTGACAATTAAAGAATACAATTAAATTTAAAAAAATATGATTAAAGCTAGTCTTTATTTGTAAAATAATATTATCTTATTAAAACGAATTACCTGAATACAATCTATAGATAAAGATTTATGAATAGCGAATTTGAAAACAATTAGTTTTATAAATTATTTAGAAAATTATAATGCATACAATTTTAAACTACATGTTTTTAAATATGCTTAAAGTTCTTCTGCATTATTGCCCCTAAAACATGCATTCATATGCAACATACACTTTTTCTATGCGTTCTCTGCTAAACAAATCTTAAGAATTTCTTATATATTATTTCTTATTACTTGCACCGAAGTAACCATTTTACTAACACAACTTAAAATTGTACAAATAAAAATTAATAATAACAATAGCAGGTAGTAATCATAATTATGAGTTATTCACCTATTTGTTACAGTAAAAATAACTTTCAATGATGATCATGAAAAAATACTGCAACAAAAACGTGTCAACTAGGTAACTAAAAACTTACTGTGTGTGCTATTATACGGCAACTTTTTTATTTTATTTTTTTAAAAGTTTACGTTGACTATAATAATTATGAAAATAGAATTTGTATGTTAACACAGACATTTACAACACAGTCTAAATATGAAAAACCCCACCTAAAAGTTTGATTTAACCTACAAAACAAAAGTGTCTAATTTTTTTATAATTAATAAGAAAAATAATTGTATTTTGATGTTTAAATTTGTCTACACTATTATGGTACACTATTAGCGTAGGTGCTCAAAAAAAAAAAATGATTATTAGTATGTACAATAAAATATTTCTTTAGGTATGCGCAAATTCTTAGACTTGATAATATCTTTAACATGTAGTTAAAAGGTTATTAATGCATATTATCATCAGAAAATAAGAAATAGGATTTTAATCGAAATGATTAATACAACATGTAGGTATTTAGTCATTTAATATCAATATGTTTTCTTAAGCCATAATAAATTTATAAAAAAATTTCAAACAGAAATAATACTATTAAATATTTTAAACGAATTATAAAATTATTTATATTGTAATTTTTAATTCCGATTTAAAAGCAATGATCATTAATCAGTGGTATACTTTGAGGCAAAAGAATTTGACAGGGTTATAATTGTTTTTCCGATGTATTGAATAGTTAAATTCTAAATGATTTAGCAACCTATTTGTTCAATAATAAAAACATGATGCGAATTAGATAGGTACATAGCGTACCTACGATTAACTTTGATTAAAATACCAATATTGGTTTGTCCAAATCTTATTCTTATATATTGTATAATGATATTATATGATATTTATTAGTTATTTTTAGTAAAACCTAATTTTAATAAAAATTATAATTACATATTTAATCATTAATTTAATTTTAACTATTTGTATACARTATACGCCATTTCYCGTGTTTAGTGTGTACGGTATATTTAAACTGACGTAAAATATTTAAGTAGGTAGGTATTGAAAATATTATGCATTCACTTTAGTACAGTGAGTTTACAATTCTCCAATTATAATTTATTTTGAAACGCTGATATCTATCTGTATTTATTCTTTAATATTAACTAGGTAATACTCTACCAGGAAATATTTATAAAAATATAAATATTAAAATCTAGTGCATGTAAACTATTGGTATAAGATATATACAAAGCTTTTTAAATAGCACAATAAATTATAGCAATAATAGCATAATAATTTTAGCATTGTGTAAACTCAACCCAAAGTAACTAAAATTTTGTATCCCAATGGTCTATGTCGCCGAGGGTGTATATCGTTTTAATATTAAAAAAAAAATTTAGCATTAAAAAATTGTATTCTTTTTAATTTAATTCTTATACATAACTCCGTAACAATTAGTCTTACAATGAATTAAGCTATGTGTATTTTTTAAAATCTTTTATATAAAAAACGTGAATTTTAAGCAATTTATTTTAATACATTTATTATATTTTCCTAAAATAAATTGTTTTTATAATTGTATACACTTATTATGATTATTATCGCAGATCTTTATTTTCGATTGTTATTGAATGTTAATTATATTAAATAATTAGGTAATAGTAAAAGATATTAATATATTTTTAAACCTCATATATTTATGAAGGCACAATACTAATTACCAYACAAAAAATCTTTCTTCTTCCTTGTCCAATATCAGATACCTATTTAAAATATTCTTCTTAGAATATGTTTTTTATTCTTGTTTTGCATATTTTATTTGTTTAGTAAAACTGCGAGTTTTTTCATACAACGTTTTTTTTTAACACACGMCCATAACTATAATAATGCAACTGATGCTGGTTTGGTTTGATGTAACTATAATGAGAACTGTTTGATAAAATGATAGCACTGCGAAAAATATGTGTGCAATAAATCAAAAATTAAGTAAACCGCATTTATACAAGCGAATTCTTAAAAAAGGAAAAAACAGTTAGCACTCAGTATTTTATCATCATTTTTTATACTGTTTGAAAAGAATAAAAAATCACTGAATTGAAAAAAAATGTTGCTTGTATAAAACTAGGTCTATTAGTTTCTTGCAATTTTTATAATTTAAAATTCAATAAATTTTTACTTGAAGTAGTTACCATTTGTGTTTAATTTTAATAATTGAAATACATAAAACATTTAGAAAACATATGATGCTTAAAAAAAARTGCTTTCCAAGTAAACCACATTATTGTAAGCCCAATAATTAAAATCGCACAGTTTTTTGAATTCAATATGTTATATCGCATCATATATAATCTTGTGTATATACCTAATACCTATACACACCGGTAAACTAAGCATTTTTTAATAATTTAATAATTCATGTTTCTATTTCCAAATTAAGATGTTTAGGTTTAATAGAGTATAAATTGAATAACTATCAATAAGGCATTTCAAAAATAAAATCGAAATTCTCAGTAAGAATACATTTATGTAAAATATAAATCATGTTTAGACAAATATAGATAAATACCTATCTACGTATTATGTAACTTGTATTAAACTCCATTTATTCACATCATATTTGAAAATTGTCACAGGCAACAGTAAAATTTATTATTTTTAGTAAACATTTTCTAGCTGAAATTGAATTTATAAATTAACTGTGAATAATTG